TGACAGCCACCAAAAGTAATTGAAACTTCAGGGTTCTAATACAACACACTTAACAAGTTCTCCACTTGAGAATTGCATCTAACCTAGGCATGTTTATTAGCTTAATTTGTCGGAAAAGTATCGGTACATAAATATACAACTACAATTAATGTTTCGTTAATGAGTGACCAACCATGAGAGGCAATACCACTCAGATCCTTGTTTCGTTGATCCATGATCTGATAAAGATATCATTGAGATTAGCAAAGCATGAGGAAAAATAATTATAACAACAAAGCTTGTATATTTTCCATGGAATGGTAGAAGCATGATCTAAGATATGCAGTAAAATTTAAGTTTTTCTATGGCAAAACAGTGTGCTAAGATGTCTTCTTAAATGTACAAAAGAGAGGTTACATACAAAGGAATGGTGATGAGACAACACTAAAGCAAGTGGAAACAGTAGTGCACCATAGGTAAAACAGCAATAATATCATGCATGGCTTCAATAAACATAGAGAGAGAAATAAAGGGTTAAAATCCTTGCTAATTAATCGAAGACAATACCAGGAATGAAAAGCTTGTGAAGAGCTTCTGCATGCCTCCCAAGTCTCAGCTACCTAGAGTCAGATTCGAAGTCTTTACAACACATATGATCTCATGGTTATTGATACTGGTGCAGATCCATACTTAATACCTTCAAGCTGAAATATCAGGAAGTGCAGATAGTATTAGGAAAAGCTTTAACTCAAATGATAGAGCAGTATCGAGGGGTCTTAAGAACATAGACTCATCGGTTGCCCTGGGAGCACATGAAAGAACAGAGAAGTTTGCAGACAAATCAATGATAACTGCTTTTTGACTTTTTTTATTCTTTTGAGCTTTGCCAGATTAATCATTATAGGCATATGCAATGGCCGTAATTATCTGTGCAGGGTCCCGATGTCTTCTATAAACATACAAATGCTAAGATATCTAAAGATACTTTACTCTCTTTTTTTTCCCAAAGATACTTTACTTCAAAAAATGAGGTATCAATTACAGCAAAACATAATCTGCAACATTCGAACAATCACAAAACAATCATCAAACTACAACCTGACAATGGTTCATGATTTGCATAATAACCAGGACCAGGACTTCAGAGCTCTGCTATGAGCTTTTACATTCAATTGACTGCGTACATTACAGAGCACCATGACTGAATATTCCAAGAGGAGATGGAGTAAGTGTCTTATACCAGCTAGTCTGTCTCCTAGAACATTCTGAATTTCCACACTGCTTATCAAACTTTGCTAATTTTGTGTTCATAATAAGAGGTAAAATTTGCAATAAACACTTAATGAGTAGGAACTATCGAACAAGCCAAGACTAAATAAAACTTTGATATGAACCACTGAGCATCCTTGTTTATACGAAATGGAATTTGACTAGAACAAAGCCATATAGGTCATATTATCACAAGAAATAAGGTTGAAGGCAAGATTACTATGTTTTATTACATCGACAGTAGCTTATAAATCACATACGGAGTTTGAAATAATGGATTATGAAAAGAGGAGCATAAGATAACACCTGAGCCTGCAAGAACTAAGTGTACAAGGCTCTGTCATCGTCATTTAAAAATCTTACACCCAAATCCTGCAAACATAATTTTAGACGTGCAAAGAACTCGCTTTTGCCAATGGGAACTCAATATAATTGCAAAATATATGATACAAGTCAACTTCAGTCTTATCACCAATGTCATGTTTAATGTTGATTTAGTGTACAACATTATTCATAGATTTCCATAAAGCAAAATCCAGGATCCTTCAATTTACAAACAAAGGATGGGTCAAAGTCCTTTGTGCCATGAGAGAGAAGCTGTCTGTAGGAAGTGTCGTGTGAAGCTATGAGGTTAGGTATGCATTTAGTGGCCAAGAGAGATGTGTGTTGTGCATTGGAGAGTGTGTTAATTTGTGTCCCATTACACCCATAAAGTCAACCCCCCATGGAGATACTGAGTCCTCCATTTTGTAGACATCAATAATAACACAAGTTACACCTCATACTCCACTATATGTTTAATACACCTTTTCAGCATTCAACAGCCCACCTTCTTCACTTCTATACGCAGAAAACCTATCAAGGGAAGAGAAGAGGCCAAAACACATTGCACCTTTTTCTGTAATATGCTATATGCACTTTGTCACATATCATGAAATAAGCAGCCAGTCAATCTACAATACTATTCTATTGATTTGAACTGAACTTGACTTTTCCTTTCATTCCCTCTACTTCTTCCCCAAACAACCATCTTTGAGAAGCATACCAGACTAATCCAAGTGCAGAACTCCATTCAAATAAACAAAACTAAAGCTGACAGAACCATCGCAAATATGTTACCTGTGAGGCGTTAGAGATCTTTACAACAACCAGTAGCGACATGATTTAAATCCCACTCCAGACTGTGCTGCAAGGAATCAAGAAATTGACCGGAACAAGAAACCAAACAAAGAACTCAACACATTGAAACCCTACAAGGAAAACAGGGGAAGAAGAAATGCTTATTTATTAGGCGAGCCCATTTCTCTGTGTTGTGAATCCGTCATAGTGGGCTTAAAACGGCCATTAAACGGTGCCGTTACACGTATTAGGCCTCCGGCCCAAATAATGGTACATCAATGTTTCTCCGTGACGCAACGCGTCCTCAAGTACTACTGCTATTATTACTTGCGTAAACTACATCTTCTTGTGACCTAAACTACAGACGTCGTCTCTCTCTCTCTCTCTCTCTCTCTCTCTCCGGCCACAAAGCGGAGCAGTGCGTGGCTGAGAGCGTGGGGGAATAGTGTATGGCAGGGCTGAGTCGCTCCTCGAGCTCTTCCATGAGGAATCTTTTTCCCCCTCAGGAGCTCCTTGATGATCTCTGCAGGTGCGTTTCCGTCGAACACTTCCCTCCGTGATCCATTCTTTTCTCGTTTTCTTTCCTTGCTGAATCGTTATTTACTCGAGTGATCGGTCCATGTATTGAGTTGCGACAATCATGTACTGTCTATGTATTGGTGGTATCCTCGTTCCCCCCTTTTGCTATCTGAGGCAATTGGTTCCCTGCCGCCCCTAATTTTGCACATTTCGATTGCCATCGATGAGTTTTTGATTGATTGGAAACGAACTCCTTGGCTGCAATCTTGCTTGTTGATTGTGCTCCTTTGTTATATATGCAGCTCGATTAGTTCCTACACTTTGTAGATGTTACGGGTTTTGCACCATTTAACGCGTTTTGTATATATATGCAGCTCGATTAGTTCCTACACTTTGTAGATGTTACGCGTTTTGTATGTATATGCAGCTCGATTAGTTCCTACACTTTGTAGATGTTACGCGTTTTGTATGTATATGCAGCTCGATTAGTTCCTACACTTTGTAGATGTTACGCGTTTGACGCTAACTGCTTTCTTGCAGTCGATTTGTATTGAATGTCCCAAAAGAAGACCTGGAGTCATTTGAGAGGATCTTGTTCCTTCTCGAGCAAGCGCATTGGTTTTATGAAGACAACTCAGTTGAACAGAATCCATCATTGAAGTCCCTTTCTTTCAGGGAATTCACCTCTCTTAGTATCCTGCTTGATAATGAATGATTTTTTTAGAATTTGAAATTGTTAAGACGAATGTGAACCAACTTGCATCATACGTGATGGGGCTTGTGATGACTTTAATATGAATTGGTGATGAAGGATTATTTTTAAGTTGTTCCTTATATACCTAAGCTCTTGATGAGAATTGATGTCTCTTGAGCATCTCATTTCAGCTTAATTTGTTGTTGTTTCCACACAACAAATTATGCGTAGTCTCGTCATTTCTTGAGGCCTTGTTGCTCAAGCCTCTAAGATTGTGTCGGTAGATTGAATTCAATTTGTAAAACAAGTGCATACATTTTTATTAAACTCGTTTGTTGATTAGATGTGTAAATGTGAACTAGGGTTTTTTCTTATATGCATGATCCTTCTGCAAGCTGTTGGGCTTATTTATTCCATGGTGGCCCTGATATCATATGATTGCTGCTTCACTGACACCATGCTCACTCATCTTCACTGAATTTTTTTAATATAAGCTCCTCACATGTTCAGTGATAGTTTTCTTTAATTCTTTATAGTTTTTAAGAGTTGTGCTGCTCTAAGACCATATATTGCACACATTGATGACATCTACAAGGATTTCACTTCTTACAAGTTCAGAGTTCCGGTGACTGGGGCAATTATTTTGGATGAGTCATATGAGCGGGTAAGCTTTAAAAGAGCATTTTTGTTTGAATTTAATCTTTTAGTTCTTCATTGTGCTCCTAGGCCTGAAAGTATGTAATCACGTAATTATTTGTGTTATTTTAGATCCTTAAAGAAATAATTTCTTTGTATTGGATTTTGGATAATGAGGAGGTTGCATAGGCATGCCAACCAGCGTGAACCTTTGTTCGATATTATGAGCACAGGGTGATATTGTCACCCAGAAGTGGCAGAAACAATATTGCCCCCACTAGAACTAAAATGGTAGTAAAATATCCACATAGTTGGCCCCAAGTAATTCCTACATTGTTGGCTTCTTGTTGCTGTTGTTGTTTGGATATATAATGACATATCTGCATTAGTACAACCTTTAAGTTCATTCGTTTTGTTGTTTTCTCTTATAAAATTTTGACTTATTGTAAAATCCTCAAAAGCGATGATTTTTGTTGTTTGGGTACATGTAGTACATGCGTTTATATAGGATTACTGCTTTTTATCTTAGTCCAAAATTTCCAAAAGGTTCTGTTGGTTGCATACCCTCTTTATTGCAGATACTTAATTATCAAGCTCTTGTGTTGTCAAATTTTTATCTTCTTGGTGCAGCCAAAGTTTCTTGAAGGCACTGTCAATTGTAGGCTTGTAGCATTATAATAAATCAGAGATTTCCAGTCAAAGTCCTTATATCAAGGTTTTATTTGAAACTTACATAGACTGAGTTGGGTTTTAGTTGTAGTTAGATTTGTTCATGTATTTTCATTCAGCTTCTATCATTTACTTGCTTTAGCGTATGGATTATTATGAGGCACTAATTGAATCATGTTTAAGTGTTAACAATGATAAAAAGGTTTTAATTTGTTGGTTGTCATATTTTTTAATTTTGCTTTCTAGTCATGGATTTAGATCCTTAGGAAAATATGGATGTTTTAGCCTTAAGTTTGGAGTCTTTTCATAATATTAGTTGTCTAATGATGACTGCTTCTTTGAGGAAAGTATTTAGGGTGATTGATTTATTGCCATGTTACAATCCTAGTATGCTTAGATGTTGTGCTTGTTCAAGTAAACTGTATTCTAGCTTTAAGCAACATATTAAGGGTTGGAATCAAAAAGTAACTGAAGCATGTCATTGATCACCTCATGGTTATGTTTTTTATTCTTTTTGTCACTAAGATTTTAGTGTTTATTTTTCTTAAAAAACATATTTATTACCATAACTGGCTGTATGGTATAAAATTCTCAACAATGCTCAATAGGAGGAAGAGTTTCATGCAGTCTAGATGGCATCTTACAAATTGTTATGTAGAATTCTTAACATCTGTTACTAGCTCTTTTAGTCATGATGCTACACCAGCCATCTGGCATATGGGATGTTTGTTACATGTAAATGATTTGTCTTGGATTTGAGTTTTTCAGTATTATCTTTTATGCAAGTTTTAATTCTGAGGTCAATTTCTAATTTGCTTGCTTCATTAGTCTCTTTTCAGTCAAAAGATCAGGCCATAATACAGTGTAAGAAACCTAGGAGGAGAAAAAGAGCAATAATTGAAACAAAATCTTCTATTGATATTTTAATGGCATCTTTTGTCTCTAGAGGCTGATGCATGTTGCTAAGCCCCATCTCTGGTAACATCTAAAGATGCTTATATGTCCTTGAAACAGTGAGTTTCACATATTGAAACAGTGAGTTTCACATATTATATCTTAAAGCATCTATGCTTATACATCAAATGAGAAAGAACTTCCATGTTTGTCTTAGCTTTGAAGATAGTAAGAGTTTGGTCCTAATCTAAGATTCTTGTTTTGCAGTGTTTGCTTGTTAAAGGCTGGAAAGCTGGAGCAAGTTGGAGCTTTCCTCGTGGTAAAAAGAGTAAAGATGAGGAAGATCACACATGTGCTGTTCGTGAAGTTAGTACTTTTTCTGGTTATCTCAAGTTTTACCAAATATATTTTTGAATGGTTTAAAATGTGTAGATTCATAATTATTTTTTCACACTTTCTGATTATTATAATACATTTCCAATTCATTTGCATTTTATCCTAGATGGCTATAAGATTGTGTGATGTCAAAATAACTTTTTGTTCTTAATGTTGAAATGGTTTTCATTCAAGTGAACCGGTAAGGGAACACAAATTTAGAAGTTATTAAACTAAATGTTTCAAGTAGACATGTTGAATTAATTAAATATATAAGTGAAGGTAGCATTGAAACAAGAAGGCAATGCTGATAGACTTGAAATTGTGAAGTCCATGTATGTTGCAGATACATGCAGCAAGTAGTTTGAAAAGAACTCACCCTGAGTCGGGAAATAGCTGCTTCTTGCTGTTTTTTCTTGTAAATTGAACAAGCTGGAAGTATGATTTAGAAAACTGTTTGCTGTTGAATTGTTGATTGACTACTGGATCAAGAAACATGAGTTTTCCCATGGACAGGTTATGTTATGGTTTGAGTTCTGCATCAAATTAATGTGCATTTGATTGTTGATATAAACCATTTCTAGTTTGATAGCATCTCTAACTTGGACATTAGGTGAGAAATCTAGTCAGTGGCATTATTGTGGTGCAGGTAGATTATTTATCTCATCGGGGCACAAATAGATTATTAATTTTGGAAGTCCTTTTCGTCCACTAAATTTCTTGTTTGATATGGAGGACATTTTCTTTTGTGGTCTCTTTTCTCTTAGTATCATCCTTGTACATATATTTTTTACTTAACAAATTAACATGCAACATTCCCACATTTCTGCTGAATACTATTGCTATTTTGTTGAGACAGTGAAAAATATTACAAGATATTTTTCACTCGACAAGTTAACAAGTTTTCCTTGACCTTGGAAAGTCACTATTGCTATTTTGTTGAGACAGTGATATATTACAAGGTATATAGAACTCTGTTGTAATACGACCTGATCTCACTGTAGCATTTTGGTACTATGGAACTAAATGAGTGCAGTTTTTAGTTACTATTTTGCTGTAGGTTGCGTAATTGTTAGTACGATTATGATATGTCTCTTAATTTATCATTGAATGATCTCTGGGTACATTTATTTTTTACTCATGCGAACTATAATCTACTTTTGTTTGTGTTCACAACAAAATTTATTAATTCATTCATGTAAATGATAATCACAGGTCCTTGAGGAAACTGGGTTTGATGTTTCCAAGCTTTTGAAAATTGATGAGTATATTGAAGTCGTAATTGGACAGCAAAGGGTACGACTCTATATTATTGCTGGGGTGAAGGAGGACACAGTTTTTGCTCC